AATAAATAAAAAGGATTGGTATAGAACAAAAACAAAAAAGGTGGTATGGGTTTACCAAATATAAAAAATTATTATTTGGCTTATCAGTTGAGGTTTATTGGAGAAATTATATATAACCCAGAAAGGTTAATTTGGCGGAAAATGGAATCATCAGAAATACAGGTAGATATTGAAAAATACTTGTTTGGTATGATTAAGAAATATAAAATAAGTGAAATTAAAAACCCGTTCTTAAAGACAATGTTAAACATATGGTATAAATATAGAAAGAATTTGTGCTCATCTAATTCTCCATTTGGATTAGTGCCAGAAACAGAGATTTGTCCTGTCAATATGAAAGTGTATGCGGAATCATTTAAAGAAAAAAGTGATTAGATTGAAAGATTGGTTGTATAAAATGAGATCAATAGAGCAAATGAAACATATTCTTCAGAGTAAGAATATCTCATGGTTAAATTATATACAATTAGAAAGATGGACTAATGAATGGATAAAGAAATATAACAAAAGGTAGAGAATACATGAAGTATGAACAATTTCTATTATCATATGAGGACATTCAGATGACTAATTCAGTAAAGGGCACAGTGAGTAAAATTTACGGATTCCTGCTCTCTGTAGAAGAAGAAGAAAGTGACAAAGAAGGGGTGAAGGTAGTGTGGGAACAAGACTTTGGAAAAAGGATAAATGGGGAAGAATGGAGGAAGATGTGGCATATGAGGGTATTAAGATTTATGTCAGTGAGAATAAGGGAAAAAATTTTAAACTGTGTCTAAGATGGTATTTAACACCAACAAAATTAAATAAAATTAATGCTAGTTATCTGAATGTCTGTTGGAAATGTGAGAAGGAAATTGGTACATACTTTCATATGTGGTGGGAATGTGAAAAATTACAAAGATCTTGGAAACAAATTTTTAAAGAATTAAATGATATATGTGGAAAAGACATAGAATTGAATCCTAAGATCGCTTTGTTATCAATATTTGAAAATGTGGAATATAAGATGATCAAAGAATTGATAACTAATTTATTAACAGCAGTGAGAGTAATAATAGCTAGGCAATGGAAATCAAAATCTGAATTTCAAATGGATGAATGGTATAATGAAATATGGAATATAGCTATAAATGATAAATTAAATTGTTAAGCAAGGAGAGGTGAAAAAGAATATATTTTTTTTGAAATATGGGGCAGATTCTTGGAATATGTACTAACAAGAGGAAAGACAAAAGCTCCAAATCAAGAATCAATGCAGTTCTGGAGAATAGAACAATAAAAGAAGAGGAAGAATATAGATGGAGGAAGAAGAAGATTATTGCAAGAGGTCCTATTCTGTGGTAGTGGGGAACACAGTTAAATTGTATTTTGGTTTGTGTATTTTCTGTTTATGTTTTAGTTAAAATTAAATTTAAAAAAAATCAAAATCCCAGTCCACATCTTTCATATAAATATACTGTATTCATACACGTCCCTTGCAAGGAAAGATAGTACAGATACCAGCATCTCCTCTTGCCCTGAAACTGCAGTGTCCATCTTATGTTCCTCCTTGTCAAATTTGTTTGACCCTGCCTTCCCTTCAGCCTCTGTCTCCCCCAGCTTTACTGTACCACCAGGTTTACTGTCCCCAGCTGCTGGGAAAGATCAGCCCATGTCCTTAAAGTGTGCTGCTTATATACCACCCCATAGTGTTTAAAGCACTCTCTGAGTGGTTTACAAGTTAATTATGCAGGCTAAACATCCCCCCTCAAGAGCTGGATACTCATTTTATCAACCTCAGAAGGATAGAAGGCTGAGTAAACCCGGTTACCCGAGATAGAACCCCAGGTCATGATCACAGTTTTGACTGCAGTACAGCAGTTTAACCACTGTGCCACAAGGTCCTTCCCCAGGTCTACCTCCTCTTGTCTTCCTCCCCAGGGCAAGCCAATTGGTCTCAGTACCTGCATTAGACAGCCTCCTTGGGGTGCCAGAAGTGACCCCCTCCCAGTACTATAATGCATTTCACCTTGGACAACCCTTACACCAACACTATAGTGCATGTGAATATTATAATCCTTAGAAGGAGGAAGAGAGAAGACTCCCTGGAAAAGACCCTGATGTTGGGAAAGTGTGAAGGCAAGAGGAGAAGAGGACAACAGAGGACGAGATGGTTGGACAGTGTCATGCAAGCTACCAACATGAATTTGACCAAACTCCGGGAGGCAGTGGAAGAGGGCCTCGAAGAGGGCCTCCATGGGGTCATGAAAAGTCATACATGACTTAACGACTAAATAACCATCAACAAGAGGGAGGAAATGCAAACAGCTGAGACTGCAGTGTATGAAAAATTGTAGTGTATGACCATCTTGTTAATGGTCTTGTAACTGTAAGAGAGAGAATTCAACTTGCAGATTTTCTGCTTCCTTAACATAGGCTCTAAATAAGAGTTATACTAGCTTATAACTGGCAGTTAGTATTTAGAAACTGTTAGTTACCATTCCTTCAGAACTAGCCCCAACTACTTCAAGGGACTTTTCATGTGTTTAAGAATATGCATAGAAATGTGTTAAGCGTGCAACTAAGGCATGGCCATGTATCCAACAGGTGTCTAAAGGCACATTATTGTGTAAGTTGAAGTAGTGCTTCTTCTTGAGCCTCTGCTCTGTGCCACATCTGTTTTGACAGCCAGACTCAACACTGCACTCTGGGAACCAGTCTGAGAAAGCATCCCACATCACGGGGTGTGTGTGTGTGTGTGTGTGTGACTGACCAGAAGCTGAAGAACTGAAATGCCCTGGTTTCTGACAAATCTGTAACACAACAAATGATTGTGACATTATACAATCAAAATGATTAAGTAGTCATTTCTCTTTCCCAAGGTCTTGTTCTTATCATTTAAGATAGCTAGTGAACAAACCAAAAAGAGGCAAGAGCTCACACCTACATGTTTTGACACTAGTCCCAGAGTGTGTACCTGCTATAACAAGACAGATATTCCGCATAAATTCAGAAGCACTGCTGGAACTATATTTTTTTAACTGTACATTCACCACTTCTGTGAACTGCATACAAGTTCTAAGCCCCCCACCATCACGTTAAAATTCCAGCTACAAATTGATCATGATTTTTTTAGAAAACAAAATATAGTTCTTGCCATCCAAAATGTTCACAGACTGAAGTTATGACAAATACAGAATACAGCCTCTTGAAGAACTCTCATGGTTTATTTAGAAAGTATCTTGACTTTTTTTACTGAGAGAAAAACAGCTACTGCATGTATTGTAAAGATTCACTACAAGTACACAATATATAAATGACTCCCTAAATTTTCTTTTAATCATATTCTGGTATATATTATCGGATTGTAACTTCAAGTTGCTCTCCCATGTTGAATCAGCTTTCACATAACTTGGAAGCACTTTCTGGTTCTTAGGCATAACTGATTAGATTAACAGCGAGGGGTGGGTGGATGCTTTCTCTTTCTACTGATGTCTGTATGAGAAGAAACATAGTGACAAACCTCAAATCCCATATATAGAAGGGAGGAAGAGGATAACCAGCAAAGTTTTAAAAAATTATCTAAGTTAGAGGAAACAAGAGGGATAAGCTGTCATCATCCCCAATGTGACACACCCTATGGAACAATGTGCAAACACCAAGTAAATCGCTTACAGTCTAAATCTAGATCTATTCACAAGAATATGTTTATAGGAACATGGTTCTACAGGCACACACAAAGAAAGGAAAGAAAACAGTTCCTTTAGCAGAAGAGGGAAAGAGGACAGACATGTTGCACTTCTCACAGCAGAACGGAATTGCCACAAAACACAGCTTGTAATTTACAAACTCAAGAGATTTGGAGGGATGTATGGAATAGCCCAGAGAAACAACAACATTCCAGATCAAAGCACCTTTGGTGCTCCTCTTCCATTAGATCTGCCAAGCATTTCACAAGAAAAGCAGAAAAGTTTTCTTGACATAAACAAATCCCAGAAACCCTAAGAAACAACATCAAAAGGCTTTCACTTTATTGTTTGAGCAACAAGGCTCTTCCTACAGCTATTATGGGGGGGGGGGGAATCAAAATTTGAAAACTCAATGGCAATCCAAAAGAAAAGCCACCCCGCCCCCTTACTGTAGCCATGGTCATTCCTGCAAGTCAGGTGCAGTCCACTACTGAACTATGTAGAGGCCATACATTCAAGCATAGAGACTGAAAATTGCAGAGTCTTGCGTTTTTAAAACAACTTTTGGTCTCATTCAAAATCATATATATATATGAGAGAGAGACGCACATCCCCCCTCCCTATTGCTAGACTGGAACAGTTTGCTGGAAGGGGCAACTTTAGATGGTGGCCAATTTAGTTCTCTTTTCAGTTGAAAGGTTTTATTTTCCGTTGTATTGGCCGTCTGGTATGCATTCAGACAAACACAGATACACACAGATTATGCTACAAAGATCAGTTCTCAGGTTCTTTACTCATCTTCAAAAACACAAACAATAAGTTTGATCAACTTTAATCCTCTGTTTTTGCTTCCATGCTCCTTGTGCGTAACTGGAGTGTGGGAAAACTACACGCCCCATCCACTTCCCACCCCCTCATCACAAAACATTGCAAATAATACCTTTGGAAACCTGAAGGTGTAAAATGCAAAAAGAAAAAGAGAGAGAGAAAAGGAAAGCTCCATTGCAGAAAAAAAATATCAACAGGATAAAGAACCTGTCTAGAGATTGGCGTTTGAAATCACCCTCTTTCAAGAGGGGCAATACGGTTCGTTTTCGTCCTTTATTTCCAGCGGATAATGAAATGCCAGCTTTTCTTTTCTTTTCTTTTTTCTTTTTTAGGAGTTACACAGCACTGGTGGCGGAGGAGCCGCGACCCCGTGAAGAGTTCCAGGCGAAGCGGGGCGGTGGGGTGCCCGCCTGTCCGAATGCGTCGCTCGGGCATTGGCATCCGGGCTCCCACGCGTGGCATGCCCTGTGGAAAAACCCGCCGGGCGAAGAGCCACTCACTCACCTCGGTGCGAGCCTGCAGCCTCTTGTTCATCTCGTAGATGCGGTACTCCGGCGGCACCATGTACGGCGTGTGCCTTCGGTAGAAGGGGCCGAAGGGAGAAGAATAGAAGGGGTCATGCGGGGTGCTGGACATCTTGCCTGCTCACGGGGGATCAACGCGCGCAGAAAGGAATCGTCCCCGACATCCGTGTAGAGTACATGGGCTGAGAGTGTTTCTTCCCTGTACAAAGTAAGCCGTACACGAGCGGAGAGGGAGAGGGAGAGGGAGGGAGAGGGAGCGAGGCGAGGCGAGCCGCACTACTGGCTGGGAATTGCTGCGGGAGCCTTCCGTCGCTAGCTAGAAAGACCGGGGTGGGGGGGGAGGCAGGCAGGGAGGGAGGCAGCCTGAGTCTGGGAGAGGCAGCGGATCGCTTCAACCTCCACCACTTGTTTTTAAAGAACCGGGTGGGTGGGTGGTCGAAGGGGCCGTTTCCCATCCACACTGGAGCCTCCTGCGGAAAAAACAAAAACAGAATTTTCCTCCTCGAGTGACCGTTGTGGGCTTAAGACTGGGTGGATTTTTTTTTTTTTTTACCTTTGAGGAACTGGTTCGCCTGAGCAGAGAGGGCTTTTTCTTGCTTCCTCAACCCACTCGCTCAGCAAGTCACACACACACACACACCCCAGAGAGAGAGAGACTCGCAGAAGCCTAATGTGTCTTGCCCTGCCATTTCCTATCGGAGAGCTCCAAGCTCCGGAGAACTTCAAAGTTTCTTGCTTGTTTTATTTTTTGTTGCATTTATTGGTCTGGTTTCTTGAGAGGCCGCGTTTCATAGACTCTTCGCTCAAAGCAGCAGATAAAAATAAAGGTCGCAAGGAACCTGTGGGGCTCATCAGAGGCTAAACCTAGTTGATATAAGATTATATTGGCTAACATCCTGCACACAGTAAAACTGGCTTCTGCTTCATGAACCTTTCCAAACAAACTAATGACCAGCAAAAGCAGGTCTGGTCTTTGGAGAGCAGGGGTAAGTTGCTTAAATGAAGTACTGATGTTGTGCCATCCCTGTGAATCACATTAATATATACTGTACAATGTTGGTAAAGCCGCCCAGAGTGGTAGAATATACCAAATGGGCGGGATATAAATCAATCAATCAATAAATCAAATAAATAAATAAATAAATAAATAAATAAATAAATAAATAAATAAATAAATAAATGTTCCCTTTGACATTTAGTCCAGTCGTGTCCAGCTGTAGGGGGCGGTGCTCATCCCTATTTCCAAGCCATAGAGCTAGCGTTTGTCTGAAGACAGTTTCTGTGGTCACGTGGCCAGCACAAGTGGACATGTAACGCTGTTACTTCCCCACCGTGGTGGTACCTATTTATCTACTCGCATTTTTACATGCTTTCGAACTGCTAGGTTGGCATAACAATGTTATATGCTGTCAATTTGCCTCCAACTCATGAATGAGCACTCTCCAAAATGTACTCTCCTCAGCTCTTGCAGACTCAAGGTCTTACTCTTTTCGTGTTGCCTTTCACCTTTCCCAACATTACTGTCTTTTCCAGGGAATCCTGTCTTCTCATGATATGCCCAAAGTAGGTCAGCCTCAGTTTCGACATTTTTGCCTCGGGAGATAGTTCAGGCTTGATTTGATCTAGGACCCAATTGTTTTTATTTCTGGCAGTCCAGGATATCCACAAAGCTCTCCTCCAGCACCATATTTCAAACTAAACATTTTTTCCCTCTCAACTTTCTTAACTGTCCAGCTTTCACACCTATACATGTTGATCAAAAATACAAGAGTGGATGATCCTGGTCTCCAATGACACGTTTTTACACTTGATGGTCTTCTCTAGTTCCTTCATTGCTGCCCTTCCTAGTCCCAGTCTTCTGATTTCTTAACTGCAGTCTCCATTTGGATTGATGATTGAACCAAGATATGCAAAATCTCTAATTATTTTAATTTCTTCTCTGTCAACATTAAAGCTCTGTAGTTCTTCGGTAGTCATTATTCAGTATATACAATACTGTCCCCAAATGACCTGTTCAGTTCAACATTTGGATCATACATGATTCCACTTCTGCTATGCATTATAAAACTGAAAACTGTGTTTTAAAACCATAATTAGCATTATGTAGTGCTTTCAGCACTCTGCGGTACTTTACCTTCTAGACCCCAATAAGCCTTATTTACTTACAGTATGGTAGTCCTGTAAGGTGGGTCGGTGTTGTTATCCACCTATGGAAAAAGAGGACCGAGGCAAAGAAAAAGTGGTTATTGTAAGTTAACCATTGAATTTCAGCCAGAGTCAGAAATTGAGCAAAGGTCTTCCTGACTCATAACTTAGTTTCCTAGCAACTATGTTGCACTACCCAAACCTTTCTGTTGCATCAAGCATAACTCATGGGCAATAATAACATTACTAGTGGTGTCAAATTCTGGCACTGCTGCTCTTTCTAGAGTTGTGCATTTGGGATTACTTTACATTGTTTATGCCTGAAGTTCTTAATCCTTTTTTCATAAACAGCTCCTGTACTGAGAGCTGTTTATGGTCCAAGGTGTATTTCCCCTGGAAAACAAACAATGGCCAAAATCTTGTTGTTTAGCATAGTAAATTGCACTAGTGCACACCCACTGAATAGATAGGGATTTGGTGAGTCAACTCCTACTCTAATTATTATGTGAGGTGTTTCTCCCCATTCTTTCATTCTTTCAATCCAATATCACATGACCCAAACATAATTAATAAAGCAGCAAAGTCCTAGGTGCCAAAATAGTTATTCATGCATCTGTCTGCTGGCAGATCGTAGCTTAGCAAACCAGTTTTGCTCTTAGATCATTCTGGTATCAGGTATCTGAAGCAAGACTGAGCAGAAAAGGGAAATTTTGATAACAAAAAGGGCTTCTGACTATTCCTAGGATTCCTATAGTCCAGTTCTCCAAATCTGGGCAACCTAACCTGCATACTGTGCACATTTTGTAGCTGTCTTTGCAAAGTATACCAGTTTGCATGCTATACAAAGTAAGTACATAAATAATACCAAGGCTGAAAACTCTGTTTTAGTTCTAGCATGTATGATTCCTGGAATTCAATCAAAGCAGATGGATCAAATTATCCCTTTGCTTAAGCCATTTTATGATCTTGAGAAATGGAAAGTTTTCTTCCCATTCCCTTGCAGAGGGGAAGGGAGATGAAAGTTTTCATTTCTTTTTAATAGTTGCTAATTGACACAATGCATCAGTGATGCATTGAAAGGGCTTTTTAAAAAACATCCTATCCTGACCTTCTTTGCTATATTCAACTTTTCGTACATATCCATTCATACATACCCATACACGCAGATGCCTATATATGTAACCAGACCTCCACCCAACTGCAATTTTTTTCAACTGCTTTGAACTATAGGATGAAGAAGCAAAAAACAAACAAACAAACAAACTGACAATTTGGAATCCCCTTCCACCTCAAGATACAGTGGTGCCTTGACTTACGAACATCCCAACTTACAACCATTTCGAGTTGCGAACAGCTCCAGCTGGAAAATTTTGCTTCAAATTGTGGCCAGAGCTTCAAGTTGCTACCAGAAAAAGGCAGGGGGGAAAGGCGGGGAATTCACATTGCTAACCATTGGTGGTGAAGAGGCTGCTTCTTTGTAGCTCTTTCGCCCCAACGGTTAGAGTGAGTGCGTCGGAGGAGGCTTTGGACTGCATGGAGCTGCTTTCTGCTCCTGAGTAAGTACATTTACTCTGTTTTGCAGGGTGGGTTTGGGTTTTGGGGTGTATGTTTCTGTGCTGTTATGTTCTCTTGTGTTTTGGTGTTTTTTTCCCTCCAGCCCCATTGCGCGTTTGGATGGGGCTGGCTGTGTGAGAGAGTTTTTTAATTTTCTTTTTTTCCCAGTGCCATTGCATGTTCGGATTGAGCTGGCTGTGTGGGGGGTGTTATTTTTCCCCCAAACCCATCATGCATTCAGATGGGGCTGGCTATGGGGGGTATTTTTTCCCCAGCCCATTACGTGTCTGGATGGGTCTGGTTGTGTGTGGGGGGATGTTTTTTTAATTATTTTTTTCCAGCCCCACCACACGTTCAGATGGGGCTGGCTGTGGGGGGTATTTTTTTCCTAGACCTATCACGTGTTTGGATGGGGCTGGCTGGGGGGGTTGATTATTTTTCAGCCCCATCACCTTCTGATAGAGTGGGTTGTGGGTTTTTTTGTGATAATTTCTTTTCAGCCGGAACGGATTAATGGAGTTTCAATGCATTCCTATGGGAAATGGTGCTTTGACTTACAACCATTGCGAGTTATGCCCATCTTCTGGAGTGGATTATGGTTATGGGGGAGAATTTTTCTTCTTTTGGCCTAAGTGAACTTGGGCTAAAATAAAGGGCAGGAAAGGAGGTGGGGAGGGAATACCTTCTAAACAGAACACCTTTAAAAACAAGCACCTTTTTAAAAAAAAACCAAGCACCTTTTAGCTTTAAAAAAGGGCAGGAAGGGAAGGGGAGGGATGGAAGGAACAATGGGGAAAAGAGGAAGGAAGGAGGGGAAAAGAGGAAAGAAAGAAAGAAAGAAAGAAAGAAAGAAAGAAAGAAAGAAAGAAAGAAAGAAAGAAAGAAAGAAAGAAAGAAAGAAAGAAAGAAAGAAAGAAAGAAAGGTAATCACTGGGGCACACAGACCCCTCAGACAAAGGTTTGTGCTGTTAAGCACAAAAAGAGAGGAGAGAGAGAGAGAGAGAGAGAGAGAAGATGGAGGGGGGAGCCTTGAGTCTACAGTAGACTCCATTTTAAAATATTTTAAACTCCATTTTAAAGCCTTCCTGCCAGCATCAACAAGCACCACAGTTTTCTGATTTTAAAAAAGATAGACCTTGGAGCCACATTTTAAACACACATTTTAAAACAAAAGACAGGTCACAGTACACAAACCATTGAAGCCACAGAACCCAGCAAGCATTATTCCAGCACAGAACTCCTCATCACAGAAAGAGAGTCTAAATTGCATTTTACAGTCTGCCTGCATCTACAGCTAGCACAGCCCCTTACAGAATATTTTCTGATTTTAAGGAGGGGAAAGACTGTGGAGTCTTAAACTGCATTTTACAGCCTGCCTGCAGCAACAGTCAGCAACCATTGTTACAGCAAACAGATCCCCAAAGGAAAAAA